ACACCCACACCCACGCACCCACGCACCCACGCACCCACGCACCCACGCACCCACGCACCCACGCACGCACGCACGCACGCACACACACACACACCCCGGCACCCCGGCACCCCCGAAGTCCACAAGAGGTTCTAAAGAATTGTCAGTCACAGAGGGCCGTCCTGCCTTTCAGTACAACTGCTCCATGTAAGCAACATGCAGAACCTGTGAGCCAACCATTCCACAATGATTGTATCCTTTTTTCATTGAGGCTTTATTTCGCGTCTCCGTACTATCAGCATTCGTGGCCGATGATTTCTGCTTATTCCATCAGATACCCCATGGTACGCATTCATCACAGTTGACATCCGTACGTATTGCAGTTGTCAAAGAACGTTTGGAAGGAACTTCTGTGGCACGGACACTAATTGTCTCTGACAGAAGACACGGCAAGAACAAGCCCGCACGACGAACAATGGCCGCGCGTGTTGGGGGTGGGAATGGACATGTCCAAAAGTGCAGCCCTGTATACGAGTTCAGCCACTCGGCATGCGCGCAAACCTCGGGCGCAACGTCTGGCGGAGGCCATGCTAGGAGCGGAGGTTTCGAAAGGAGAGGTTCAGATGCCGTGGCGGGCGCAGGGCTTTCGCAATAGACGGATAGGTTGGTAGATGGATAGATGGAGAGGGAGAGAGGGGGGGGAGAGAGAGCGAGAGAGAGAGAGAGACAGAGGGAGAGAGAGAGAGACAAAGAGAAAGAAGGTGCTACAAGAAGGAGAAAGAGAAAGAACAAGGATAGGAGAACGAACAATTACAGATAAGCGAAAAGAGCAAACGAAGGAGGAAGAGGAAGAGAAATAATAATTGAACCAAGCGGGGAAGAATAAGAGAACGTGAAGTGAGCGAAAAGAAAGCAGAAAGAAGAGTAAGAAGAGAAAAAAGAGAAGGAGAAAGAAGAGAAGGAGACAGAAGAGAAAGAGAGAGACGAACAGACGGACGGACGGACAGAAAGAAAGAAAGAACGAAAGAAAGACAAAGAAGAAAAAGGGACGGACGAGACAAAAAGCAAACAAGAGAAGCACAACGAGGAGGCTGTTCGTCAGAAGGCCGCTGTGCAGGCTTCAGCCGCGGCAATGAGTTGGGCAATGCGCATTTTTCTATGAGGCATGCAAAGACGGTGCTCTTCGCTTCCGTTTTGCTGATGCGCCACGTGGGCATGTCTGACTTTGCCAACCTCTTGCTGCACTTCTTGTATGTACGGCATGCAATCAATTTTGCAAACAAACCAACAACATCGCATGATGAAGCAAGTTTCTTTGGGGGAAATATCACATATTGAACATATATATATATATACACATAGATGCGTTGCATGTGTATATTATGTGTGTATATACATAATCTAGCATCGCCTCATAGAGGCTTTGCTGACTGCCCATGTGCATTTTCTTTAAGGACCCCGAGCCATATCCATCCGCTGGGCCGCTTGCACCTCAGATTTTGATGGGATCACTGTCACGAGAGCGAGGGCTAGCACTGCAAACCATGATTTCGTTGCTTTAGGCTGCGTATGTGGCTGCTTCATGCTTGCGTTGGCTGGCGTTCCTTGTGAGCACCGTCAAACAACAATCCCTGTAGATTTCTGGGTATGGTCTTCACACGATCAAGACATTCCTTGGGCCTTCGGCGGCCGAGGCCAGGACAGACTGAGCTCAGCGACGAGCAGATAGACAAGCAGGGCGAGCTCAAGCAGGTCACTCTTGGGCGCTGCGGTGTTGCATGCTCCAACTGGGGCAACCCTGACCCAGGGCTCCTTAAAAGATACATTTTGCCCGTTTGAAACATGGCTTTTTCCACCAAAATAAAAGGAAACTACCATTTACAAGGCAATGTTCAGGTGTATAATGTAAGGATCCCTGTGTTTGGCCCAGAAGCTGGGCAGGCGGGTTCTTGTGAGTGGGTACATGACTTGGAGTGACTCGGAGCCTTCAGGGCCAACAGCTCTCGATGAACTTCAGCACGCATTCGCATTCGCAGCTCCGGAGACATCCATCACCAGAAGTTTTGTCGCCAGATACGTGAGTTCGACTGCCAAGTCTGGACCAATCCTGAACACATTCCCAATGGCACGGTCAACCAGGCCAACCTATAGTCTGCCTGAGCCAACTCTAAAGACAGCCGAAGCCCAGAAAACTCAAACAGACACCTTCGAACAAATGCTCCTTTGCTTTCAGATCTCTTGCCGGGATGAAACTACCTCCGGCCCCCCGTTGCCATGCGCTGCTCCGTTCCTTGTTTGCCAATGATCTTCAGCCCTGTCACAGCCACCTGAAATCGCGCATCTCTACCCGAAACATTTGAACATTAACAGGATACGTGTAACCTATGAAACCAACTGCACTCTCGTACCTCGAACCTGCCACACAATCGAGCTTTAGTCTCACGTTCCCTTCGGTTTTACACTGAACCTGTTGTGAATTCAACCGAACCGCAGCGGATCACATGTCTACCCGCCAAACTGACCACTACGTCGCACCCTAACCCCCATGCAACCCGAAGCACGCCCTTGGGACCGACACTAAACCCACCCTACACCCACCTACACCCACCCTACACCCACCCTACACCCACCCTACACCCACCCTACACCTCCCAAACCCACCCTCAAGCCACCCAATTCTGCTTACCTGCGTTTGTTACCAGCTGGCATGTATGCGAATTCTGAAGGATGTTTCCAACAGGGTTTGATTTTGATCACGCATGTTGTCAAGATGTGATGTAGACTGCGCCATGACTGATGTTGCGCCATGATCATGTGTCGCTTGTCCAGTTGTGAGGATATCGGCTTGGATGGGCTTGGCTGAATCTGGTGGATTAGGCGCAATTCTCACTCTACAAAGTCCTGTCTTTCACTTGCATGTCGAGGGTAAGCTACCGGGAGTTGAAAGTCCGGCATAGCAGGACCCCCGTGCATGCAGGACCCCCCCTGCATGCAGGATAGATTTGCTTTGCCGCTTCCCCGAGGCGGCAAGCGAGGCATTAGAGGATGGCGACTTGGCCAAGGCTTTGGAGAAGCTCACGCAGGAGTGCGGGATGCAGAACACAAAAAATGCAGAGACATGTTTTTTAGCCACGTGCCCAATCCACGGTAGAGACATGAATTTTGTTAGCTCCATGGTGCCAGTCCTTTAAATTTACACTGCATTGGCTTAGAATGTGTGCAGAATCGCACGCAAATGATTTAATGAATGGTGAGACAGCTAGCTGAGAACTTGGTGGTCGAATCCCTCCGTGAAACGCGTTTCCAAGTTTCCAGGCCTTTGAGATCGGCAATGTCTCCGCCATGATGCACCACGGCTTGTCGTGACGTGCTGGACGTGGGGACATGGCGAATTCCGATGAGAACTCGACGAGGTACGCGAAGCGCGCAGAAGTGCTGCTGAAGCTCAAGAAGCCTTGCGCCTGCATTGCCGGGCCCTCAGACTAGCCGACCTGGCCTCACCGCGCACCGCATGCATGTGAGCAACCGCCCTTATTGGCAGGAGACTACAGTAAAGGCCAGGCCGAGACATTTTTGGGTAACATACTGAATTAGGTCCCAAACGAAGCAGAACCCCCCCAAAACGAAGTAGGGCCATGAAATCAAGGAGGTTGAGATCACAACTCATGCGGCGTTGGCAAATAAGGTCAATGAATCCAAACGGGTACAGGGTTGGATAACGAAGTGAAAACTCCCGACCATTCAAACATGTAGCAAATAACTGCCGTAGTTCATGTGATCCCAAATTCTCCAAAGAGGCTTTGAGCAGTTGTCATATGGCTGATTGCGGCATGTTTCTTGGCAACCATGAGCAAAGCCGATCACGGCCGTGTTGTTGTCCTCCCTTGCATCGGTGTGAACAGCTCATGATGACCGCGTTACCTGGACTTCACTGTGTGGTACTTATCCAAGATTCACAAAGTTTGGGTAGTTTGGGTAGAGAATGGTACTTATCCAAAATTCAAAACCATAAATAGCGAAGTCCACGGAACCTTCCACCTCACAGCGTTTGCTTCTTTAGCCGCCCGCTCTCCCTTTTCTCTCGGTCTTGGAATCCTTGGGCCCAAGGGCAAGTTTTGGTCTGCGATCTCACAGCATGGGCCAGTGCGCTCCATATTTGTATTGCGGCGCCAGCCTTTCAAAAGATGTGAAGCGCCTTCGTCTGCACTGGAGTCCTGGAGCGCTGCTGTTTTATGCTTTTCCTTGGAAGCCCTGGCCCGCTTCCGCGGATATGTGGAACAAAGAAGCGGGTAGAGATCGAGCCCTGTGTTTTGCATGACGCAGAAGTACACCACATTCTTTCGTCAACACAACTGGCTTGCCGAAAGGAAAGGTGTTTCAGATTGGACCACAGACCTCCACAAGACAAGGCGGATTCACCAAGATCCCAAGCTTGATTAGGCTGGCTCGTTCGAGCACCTGCGCTTCCCCATTGAATACTTTCTTTTGCCCAGCCCGCATTTTGTGCCCTTCGCCTTCTGAGGAGCGGTGATTCGGCGGGACACATGGTCTCGCAGCAGCACGTGGAGGAGGCTTTGGCGCGCTTTAACGAAGCCGGCGCCACCGCGTCCCAGTGCCCTGGTCAGACCCAGTGAAAAAAGCATTCGAACTGTGTGCTCATGTCTGCAGCTTTGCATTGGTGATAAAACAAAGTGGAGCTTTATTTGAAATAGGTAAAGTGTTGGCCTGCCCAGCATGAGCTTCAGTGACCAGTATTTCCCAACCTGGGATGGGTTTTCCGTTTTCCTGCTTGCACGCTGTCAACCCGTTCCTTCACACAATGCGGGGGAAACTCATTTAACCGGTGAGTAAGCGAGTGTCTGTTGGATTTGTTTGTTGTGGTGTGCTGCGTGGGTGGGTGGGTAGATGGGCAACCGGGGGGGGGGGGGGGTGGGGGATGGGGGATGGGGGGGAGGCAGGGGTGCGAATGTGTGTGTGTGTGTGAGAATGGAGCAATTGCCAGATGTGTACAGATCCATGTCATGGAAGTTCAAGCTTCAACTCCCAGGTGCATTCGTCTTGGACCAGACGCATGGAAAGCTGCCTTCAGCATTGCTGCCAGCTTGCTGCGGGGCGTGCACCAACACCTGCCTCGTGTGGTCAGGCGGATGTAGTTGAAAGAGGGCGTGTTGTCTTCGCAACATGGGCCAGGTGTGCCAGTGCATCAGATTTCAGCGTGTGCTTGCGGTAAACAATTTTTGAGTTACACGTCGAATGTCACTCATACCGATATCAACAAGATGTTGGCAACTGCTCAATGGTTTGCGATGATTTGACATGCCCTGAGGAGTGCAGAATTTGCTGAGGGAGCAGACTGCCAACCTCACTACTCGAAGCTGCCCAGTAGAGGCAAGGATGTGTTGGCCACGCTGTGCGTGAAGCTTTCGCAGAAAGAGGCCGGAGAGAGGAGTCAGCTGAATTTTGTTCTCTCAGCGGCAAATTGCTGGATCGCTGGTCGATGCAGCCTGTTCGACTCTGATTCGAGCTCGGGCCTCGTGTCACCCTGGTCAGGTTTATGGCGAAATCGCCACCCGGTCACGGATCGGTGCCTGCCTTCGACTGGGAGATGAGGTGATCTTTGCGGTGATACGGCCTCCGCCCGACCTGGCAAAGGCGCCTTTGCTGATGGAAGTGCACGGCTTCGACTTTCTCGTGCTGCCCGAGATCACGAAGCTGCGCAGGCATCTGAAGCAGGTGCGGACAAGAAGAGAGCGATACAACAAAAATGTGCGTTTCAGGATTTTCTGAGAATTATCAATCAGTCCAGATGCTAAGCAGGTTGTTCGCTTACCAGCAGGGTGAGTGTGTGTGTGTGTGCGCGTGTGTGCGCGTTGTCTCCGGGCAACTTCGGGCCAGCTTGACTCCATTGACCTGCAAGTCAGGTCCTGGGCAGCGACTACTCTCGGAAGTCCACAACGGTATGGTACGAGAAGCACAAGGACGAGTTCTGTCCTCTGCAAGACTCAAAGCTGCGCAGGATCCTGGCCTCGATCTTCGAACAGCCCTTTGGCTTTGGAAAAGCCACGCCCTTTGTGAGAGGGCCGAGGCAAGGTCGACAGGCATGCCCTTGGGGATGTTTTGAAATTGCCTCCCTGCTGTTCGGATCGCACAGATGCAAGCTTCAAACGTGTTTTGCTTGGCTGGAAGGGGCCCTAACTAGCACATCAAACCGCAGTGTACACTTGAGTGCTTTGAGCCTGGCAGCTGGAGTCTAAGGCACTCGCTCATTATGCTGCCTGAGTGGGCATTGAGCCGCACTATATGGGGCATGCTGAACATTTTCACCCAGTCGTGCCTTGGAGTTGATTTGAACACTGAGACCGAAGAGTTCTTCGGATGGAGCATAGTTTTCCCGAAGATGGGCCTTTTCGCCAGGTACAGAACCTTTGAGTTCTGGGACGAGGGCAGAAGTGGCATCAGGCTAACTGTCAGAGGCACAAGTATGCCAGAGGACGAAGAATACCGCCAGCAACTTGTCTGCATTGTACACGGATTTGCCCTCAGATTTCATGCCGGAGGTGCCCAGACGTAAACTCAGCCAAGAGAGCCAAACGCGGCTTATGACGCATCTGTTTGTTTGCTTCTTGGGTACAACATGAGGAACGCACGCGAACTTTACCAACTACAGTTGGCAGCTGCTACGGAACGGCAGTTTGCGGAGCGACTCTTCAAGTCAGCACCTGGGCGGGAATTTGGGCGGAACTGCTGGGCCCCACAAACCCTTTCGCATTCGATGTAGCTCCCACGGGTGTTCGTCCCATGAGCTTAAAGTACTTCAAAGGTGGGATGGGGCTGGGGTGGCTGCGATCCAACTGTCCTCCCAGGGCTTCAGCGTGGGGGCCATGTGTTACGGGCGACAGCTGGGGGATACGGGGGCCAAGCCCGAGACGATCGCCAAGCTGAAGCCCGGCTGCATCCGGGTGATTTTGAGCTGGTCATGGCTGTGGCTCAAGAAAGTACCAACATGGCACCCTTGGCAGATGGAAGACTTTTCTTTTAGCTAGGTTTGCCCTAGCTCTTTAGTTGTGAGCCACACCCAAATGTCAAGGGTTCAATGTTCAAATCCGCAACCCCGTCACCTTGCTACTTGTGTTCACCAGAGCTTGCACTCATGCCTGCAGGTTGAGATCCAGTTGCAATGTGCATTGTAGGCAGCTTTCTGCCAGGGTAGATGATTTGCAAGAGCCCAGGGCACAAGTGCAAGATGTAACACGGCAACAGAGCATGTGCATGCCTTCAGATTTTTTTGGAGACTCTGGGGCTTCATCTACCTGTGCCCCAGGTTCTCGGCAGCGAGGAGATGGGGGCCGGGAAGCTCTGGATGGCAGAGCCCTTTGACAGCAGCTTTTGGCATAGCCAATGCCACAGCAAGTCATGCAAGTGTTTTTTTTGTTTTCCCCCGCTTCCTAGCAAGCTGTCTTTATTTTTGGCCGCCTTCCTAGCAAACTGGGCGGCGGCTGGCTCGAAATCATAAACCTGTCAAAGACAAGAGTGCCTTTGCGCCCGCGCGGCGCAAAGGCGTGACACGGCATGAACGTGGTGGGGTTTCCACGGCGCCAGGCTGTTTGTTCAAGCCCGGGGCAAGTTCTTTGCGCAAATTGTTCTTTGCAGGATGCATATGCAAGTTTCTCGATTGTGTTGCTTAAAACGCAAGCTCTCTTTGCAAGTTCCCTGTGCAAGTCTCTCCGCGAGTGGTCTCTGAGTAAACTCTCCCCCTCCCTATCTCGCTCTCTGCAAGTTGTTTCTGTGCAAGATCTTCATGGAAGTTTCCCTGCACAAGTTCTCTGTGCAAGTTCTCAGCGCAAACTTCTCCATGAATCTCAATGCAAGTTTCTCTGCGAAAGCTTTCAGTGCAAGTTTGTTTGTGCAAGTTCTCTGTGCAAGTTCTCAGTGCAACACGCGCAAGTTCTAGCCGCAAGTTTCTGCCCAGCTTTCTCAACGCAGATAGCTTGGCGCCAGCATCTTGGCGGCTTGCGCATCTCGATTTTCGAGCTGTGGGAGAGCACTCCGCATACTGAAGTTGCGCTTTTCAAGCTCGAGCAGGAGCCTCACGCCCCATTCCCGCAGCGGAACCGCAGACAAAAAAAGCAAAGCCCACAGTTTTTGAAGGTCGAAGGGGAGCGCGGGTTTTGCAGAACGTAGTAGACGCCCGCAGTTTTTGAAGGTCGACATGCCGAATCTGGTCGAAGTTTTGCAGACTGCGGTGGTCCTGCCGCGCAGCCTTAGAAGACTAAATCAACATTTAAGTTGCGCTGCGAGTCTTCTGGCGCAAGTCTTCAGTTGAATTGCACTTGCCAGTCTTCTGGCTCAAGTCTTCAGGTGCAATCTCACGAGCAATCGTTCGGTGCAATTTGACGTGCAGTCACGCCGTTCCACAACGTTCCACGGGGTTCCACAAAAGGGTTCCACGAGGGTTACATGAGGTTCAAGGATTTAACAAATTTGCGGGAGATTCTGCGAGGGTTGGTGGGCGGCCCGAGCTCCACAAGGTTCCACAAGGGTTCTGCCAAGGGTTCCGCGAGAGTTCCACGGGGGGGGGCCTTGAGGTAAGGCTCCACAGTGCCTGAAAATGCCTTCGCCATGCTTTCGGGAATGCATCTCAATGACGTTTCCAGGGTTGCTAGCTGAAAGCAACCGTTGGACTTAATGTTGCGACGAGAAGCACAGGTGGTATGCCTGAGTGCACGGATGCATCAAATGCAGATGGAAAATTTGCCGTGACTAAGTGTACGTGCGGAAGGTAGGGCCTTGGCTGAGTCCCGCTTCCCAGGCTACGATGATACTTGGCTCTGCACGGACAGGAAAGACAAGCTGGGACAGGTTGTGGAAGAGCAAGGCGCGCGTCCTGTCTGAGCATCCCATACTCTCTTGCAGCCGGCCAGGCCGAACCATTTGGATTACGCCTGGGGCTGGCCGCATTCCCTCAACCCCGGAGCAGCGTGAAGATGCGCTGTGCGAGGCGGAGTGTTTTGCCAGTGGACAATTAGTTGAGTTCCCCCGCAAGCCATGAGAATGACTCCCATACTCGCATGTAGAGATGGCAGTTCCTGTTGTGACCAGCTTGCAGGTGAACCTAGCTCCAACTGAAGCGGACTCATCGGCGAAGACCTGGCTTCTGCCGACGCTTTTGCTGTTGGCAATCACACTTCTGCTGATGTCCATCCTTCCGTCTTTTTCCAGCTTCTCAGCTTAACACGGGCTCGCTTTTCTGTCGCGGAGTCATGCTCATGCTTTCATGGATGCCCAAGACATACCCTCCCTCCTACTAACATGGCACCTGACAGGGGTCCCTTTAAGAGGACACTGATCTTCAATTTCGAGCAGACGGAACCTAGAGTGAGAACTTCTAGATGAGAGATTCGTCGAGGCATGACACAGAGTGCTTTGAATTCTTGATACTGTCGCTGTTGAATTTGTGTTTACGTGTCTTAGGGCGCCGTTTCAGGACAGATGTTTGAAGAAAACCAAAAGGAAATCGTTCTGAAAGGATTGTCGAAATCAGCCCTTTGTGGGTCTTTCCATTGATTGGTTTCGGGGTCATGCTGATTTCCCCTTCAGAAGCAGCCCGTAAGAAAAGGGTCACACTATTTGACACACAGCAGTGGCAAGAAAATGTTTCGCTTTTCTAAATGGGTGTGTTTTTTTTGAAGGTGCCTTTTTTGTGGTTTTAAACAGAAACCAAGAGGACACCCACCATTTCATTGCGCCATGGCATGGGACAAATGGGCTGAAGCCATCAGTCAGAGCATCCGCATGGCCTTTGACTGGCCGCTCACCAAGCATTATCTATCCCCCCCGCCAGAAACGGTGCTTTGGGAAGAGGTGTACATCATCATAAAGCCACGTGTTTCCCGTGGCCGTAGTTGCTGGCTTGAATTTCCTCAACCACCCTAGCAGCAATACTGGAAACAACGCTATCGCCTCTTTCCTGTTTGGTGCTATTGCTGCAGACTTGATTTCTAGATCTTTGCTTGATGGAACGGAATTGACTGCCCAGCTGAACATGATGAATCGCCATATCCGATCTTTGAGACATTCCAGCACTGATCAGCATCCCCTGAGCTCTAGCATGTGAACGACTGCAAAAACACCGTAAGCTTGGAACCAGGCTCGCCGCATCGCCGCAAAGCGGTGCCTCTGGATCCAAATAGACTAGTCACAAGCCCAACTAGCTTCACTTATGCGCGATGAGGGGTGTTGGGGAGCCTGTTTTGGCAACTACGTAGCTTTACACCCAACAGTATTTGCAGCCACTTTGTTCCATGACATGTGGTGGGACAGAACGATGTTGATGAGCTTGTTGTGTATTCGCGTCGTGGCTTTGAACTCACTTTCCATCTTGACTGTACGCTCGAGGTTTGGCAGATTGAGCGCAGAAGGTGAGCCCAAATTCATCATGCTCTAGCAGCCAAAGCCTGAGGAGCGCTGGCTCCGAGACAGCTAGACAGGCAGGGTTGCCGTTCGGACCGTGACTTGTGCCGAACGAGGCGTTTTTTGCGGGCAGATCCTGGCCAGCGGGATCGAAGGGCAACCCAGCCTTTAACTGACCGGAATGCGACTTGTCTGGGGTTGGAGCTTGCAATTCGTTGAACTTTCCGCCGTTTTCCAGCTCACCCCCTTTTAAACGGCTAGGTCTTGTTACATGTCGCGCGAGTCACCGTTCCCGGCATTAAACATTGGCCGCCAATGAACTTTTGCCTGTTGAACTTCTCCAGTCTTTTGCCGGCCACAGCCTGGTGCGGAATGCCACGGTCAGGAGTTTCACCCGTGCATCCTTCAAGGTTGCCATTTCCAGGAAGCCGAAAGAAAAAGAGCTGGACACCTTGGCCGGCGGATGGGCCATTGAGAGTCGGACAATTTGCGGTCCCTTCAGCAACCCAGGCCGATTGCAACGCTGCCTTGAAGATTAACCCGGACAGCGGGAAGGCATATCGCGTTCGCGGAAGGGCCGGCTGCTCAGGTCATCTCAGGTCTCTCTGACAGCTCGCATCCGATTCCAGTAGTGTGTTTTGTCCTGTGCCGACTCGAGTCAGCTACTTGAGTGTGTCCTGCACTTTGCTCAGGCCAATCGGTTTCTCGGTCGCTGGGAAGAGGCGCTACTGGGTCGTGTGAGAGTTTCCCTTTCTCCATGCCGTTCGCGGACTCAAAGCCAAGGATGTATTTTAGCCCGCAGACGCAGCAAGCGGACTGCGAGCGCAAAGGATGCGAATTGGGACCGTTTGGCTGGGTGGTTGGAAGGGGTATCCAAGTTCGCCCAGGGAGCTAAGGAGCTACCAGGATTCTGTAAGGACATTGTAGTTGTGTGGTGCTGCTGAACCAACTCTACCCCAACGGAGCCTAAACCCAAAATGAAGCCTAAGCCAAGCCTGCCCATGGGCTGGATCCTGAGACCTGCAGACACTCAGCATCCACAGCCAAACTGAATCACGAGCTTATGTGTCATTTGAGAGACCGTGTCGCTCTCAGGCCATGTCGCTGAGGTTGGAGATGTGCTATGTTTGATAAGGACAGTGACCTTCAAGCCATCCAAAGTCACCTGAAAGCCCACCTGAAGCCTCAATCAATCCGGAGCCCGCGGCAACTAGACCCATGCTAAACCCAAGCTAAACCTGTCAGCTCAACCCCCCCGAACTTTTGACCCGCGAGCAACTCAGCTTGCAAGCACCCTAAACCAATGCTAAACGAACCCTAAAGAAAACGAAACCGGCTTTTGTCAGCCGCCTCCTTGGTTGCCATTCCTGAATGACACCCGTGTTTAATGGTCGACCATCGGTTTTCGACTTATCAGTTTCCACTGCCAAGTGATGTTCACGAGAGTTGGGACATCTACCACCAGTCAGAGTAAGTAACAAGTTCGATAAGGACCAGCGTCGCGCTGGATCATCTCCAGCGAACTGCTATTGCATTCGACCAACCCCTCAAATTGGGTTTATCTCACAGGGGAACTCCGGAATGGGTGGGGCTAACCCCTCCAGACGCCCCAAAACGGGCACCCTGAAGCCCCGTTTCAAACGGAGGCGCACCAAGACTTGGCGGAGAGTCAGAAGCTGGACTTCGACGACGACACGGCCGAGGCCAGGCTCTGTCCTTGGAAGGCTCAGGCTGGTAGAAACAGAGCAAGATGTGCACATCTCTGGGTGTGTCTCTGTTTTTGAGTTGGCACACCTGGAGCTATACATCTCTGCGTGTGTTTGTGGTTTTTCCTTTGTTGTGGTCTTAAAGGGAAAGCAACCGTAAAACCGAGATCCATTTTGGAGGGAGCCCTAAAAAAGACACACCCATATGCACTCAACGCAGACATATTCATGTTCTCGAGATTTTTTTCTGAAGGACGTCCTGACATCATCCTTCATTTGGCGAGCCTGATCGTCTCAGGCCGATTAGTCTGCGCCCGCGCATTTGACCCGCCAGTTGCAGAAGCTGGTGGATGCGAAGTACAAGAAAATCGCAGAGAAGAAGAATCGCGATCGGCGCCTTGGCGAGGTCACTTCTGGCTCTGGGCGTGGGCGTGCGCTTTTGACATGGTGAGAGCGTGCAGCACAGCTGGGCGGGCAGCGCGCGAAAAGCGTTGTGGGTCCGCCTGTGCACGCGAACGGGTTGATGTAAAACAAGCCACGTGAAAGAAACAAAAACACGCGAAAACACGCGCGAAGGCTTCGCGAAAGCTCGGCGAAGGCGCGCTATGAGGGTAACCAAATCTTGACCTATTTTGAGCACCGCTCACTTGTCAACCCAATCTATGGCCAGAGTGCTGACCTGATCTGTGTATAGTCACTTTTTGCCCCAGCGAGAGGATCGCAGCGCTCGTTGGCTGAGGTTGAAGGCTGAAAAGAAAAAGGAGCAGGACTCTCATGGTTGTTTGAGCGAATGCTGGATTGGCGGCCTCCGAAATTCCCCTCTCTCTTCATCCGAAGGCAAACCTATTCCGAGGCAGAAGAAAGGTGAACATGGGAAATTTGGAGCCATACTTGACTTCGACACAGCCAATACCACAGCTGGGGTTGCAGGAAAGGAAGCGAAGAAAAGAGGAGGCCATGGATAGGACATCAATAATAACGCCAGTTGCTGTGTATTCTTGAAACTGGCGCGCAATTCGAGATGTTTCTGGGGAATAAACATTTGTGCGCAATCCAGCATGCACAGCATACCGGCTCTCAATATGCCCAACCCACTAATGCTCTTTGACGTTCTTCTCAGGCTCAGCGTGCCTACGAAGAGGCCAAACAGAATCCCTCGGGAGGAGGACAGTTCGCGGGAATCATTGCGCACGAGTTCGACAAGCTTGCGCAACAATAGTCCTCTGCGGGTTTTTGTCGCAATCTGTTTTCTCACCCCTTGAATCATGGCAATCAGCCTGGCACCGTGAGGCTATGGTGGCTTCCCAGGAGGCTTCCCAGGCTCGCGTTGGGCATTGGAGCGCCTCACGAGCTTCAATCTTGCAGGTATGGGCGGCATGGGCGGCATGGGCGGCATGGGTGGCATGCCCGGCATGCCCGGCATGGGCGGCATGGGCGGCATGCCCGGCATGCCAGGCGCCGGTTTGGAGGTCGACCCGTTGACGAAAGCGAAAGCGGGCCACAGGAATTGACCCCAGCATGCTGAGCGGCATCATGAGTGATCCTGAGCTCATGCAGGCCCGTCACTTGCCATCGCTCGAGACATGAGAGTTGAAGCTTTAGGCCTTCCAGGACCCCAGGATGGCGCAGGTAATGCAGGACGGGACATAAGGCCGCAACGCCCCAAAGTGGCGCGCATCTGGAAGGACATCATGGCGAACCCCGGGAACATCGCGAAATATCAGAGCGATCCAGAAGTCATGGGCCTCATCAACAAGGCCCAAGGCCGCAGGTTATATTCGAGTTTGTCTTTGGGCTGGCAGGTGATGGGAGCCTTTTCCAAAGGTCTGCCTCTTAGTATGCAGGGCGATGTGGCGGTGTCTGATGCATGCTATGGTGGGCTTTTCAAGAGCATCAGCCTGGGAACGCAACACAGGAGTAGATCCGCAAGCATTCGTTGGCCATGTGATTTTCTGTTCAGCCGCCACATGCTGGAGGAGATGCAAAGCAACCGAGAACAGGCAAGTGAGATCAAGATTCAACAAGTACCCGTCTTGCAACTGCTCACCCCATGGTTTCCTTAGTTTTCATTGCAATTTACACTGGCATTTCTGTCCTGGTTGACAGTTTCATGGAGGCAATCATTGCATCAGAATCAGTTGCCAACCAACCAAAGTTGTCCTCCATTGCCGCTACATGACATAGCAGGCGAGACATAGCAGGCCTTTCTGTCGGAGCCTTCAAACCAACCAGAAATGCCAGGAATGCTCGACTGTTTGCGCTCCCACACATACACATATGCATACGCATACGCATACACACATACACATGCACATACACATACACACACAGAGAGGAGTTCTTGGAATGCTTTGTGGGGAATAGCAGAAGTTTGTTTCTTTTGTCACACCACACTACACCAGGCGGCGGCATGCCCGGTGGCATGCCCGGCGGCATGCCCGGCGGCATGCCCGGCGGCATGCCCGGCGGCATGCCCGGTGCAGCTGGTGCAGCGCCCGGAGGCAGAAAGGGACTTGTGGCTCTCCAAGCAAAGGGCTGTTTCGTCCGGTTTAGGATTGAACAGTGGAATGCAAGGGAACCACCCTATAGGTGCCTAAGGATCTTTCGGACCAAAGGAACAAGGATCTTTTGGATCTCTCAAAGAAACAAAGGGATGTTTCGTCCGGTTTAGGATTGGACAGTGGAATGCAGGGGAACCACCCTATAGGTGCCTAAGGATCTTTCGGAACAAAGGGATGTTTCGTCCGGTTTAGGATTGAACAGTAGAATGCAAGGGAACCGCCCTATAGGTGCCTAAGGTTTTTTTGGACCAAAGGAACAAGGATCTTTTGGATCTCTCAAAGAAACAAAGGGATGTTTCGTCCGGTTTAGGATTGGACAGTGGAATGCAGGGGAACCACCCTATAGGTGCCTAAGGATCTTTCGGAACAAAGGGATGTTTCGTCCGGTTTAGGATTGAACAGTAGAATGCAAGGGAACCGCCCTATAGGTGCCTAAGGTTTTTTTGGACCAAAGGAACAAGGATCTTTTGGATCTCTCAAAGAAACAAAGGGATGTTTCGTCCGGTTTAGGATTGGACAGTGGAATGCAGGGAACCACCCTAGGTGCCAAGGATCTTTCGGATCAAAGGAACAAGGAGCTTTTGGATCTCTCAAAGGAACAAGGGATGGTTCGTCCGGTTTAGGATTGAACAGTGGAATGCAAGGGAACCACCCTCTAGGTGCCCAAGGATCTTTCGGATCAAAGGAACAAGGAGCTTTTGGATCTCTCAAAGGAACAAGGGATGGTTCGTCCGGTTTAGGATTGAACAGTGGAATGCAAGGGAACCGCCCTCTAGGTGCCCAAGGATCTTTCGGATCAAAGGAACAAGGAGCTTTTGGATCTCTCAAAGGAACAAGGGATGGTTCGTCCGGTTTAGGATTGAACAGTGGAATGCAAGGGAACCACCCTATAGGTGCCTAAGGTTTTTTTGGACCAAAGGAACAAGGATCTTTTGGATCTCTCAAAGAAACAAAGGGATGTTTCGTCCGGTTTAGGATTGGACAGTGGAATGCAAGGGAACCACCCTCTAGGTGCCCAAGGATCTTTCGGATCAAAGGAACAAGGAGCTTTTGGATCTCTCAAAGGAACAAGGGATGGTTCGTCCGGTTTAGGATTGAACAGTGGAATGCAAGGGAACCACCCTATAGGTGCCTAAGGTTTTTTTGGACCAAAGGAACAAGGATCTTTTGGATCTCTCAAAGAAACAAAGGGATGTTTCGTCCGGTTTAGGATTGGACAGTGGAATGCAGGGGAACCACCCTATAGGTGCCCAAGGATCTTTCGGATCAAAGGAACAAGGAGCTGTTGGATCTCTCAAAGGAACAAGGGATGGTTCGTCCGGTTTAGGATTGAACAGTGGAATGCAAGGGACGCAACCACCCTACAGGCGCCTCTGGCCCCACCGTCGAGGAGGCCGGGCTGGGCATTGGCGCATAAAGCTTGGGTCTGATCCTCCAGGTTCCTGAGTCCAACGTGGACGAGGTGGACTGATGGGGCTTACGGTTCCACGCTGCTCAGATAACGCAAATCTGAGTTTGCGAAGCCCGCAGTTAGATTTGTCACGCCGTTTTTGTTATGTGTCACTGTGGCTTTTGCCGGCTTCTACTGAAGCTGTCTAGAAGTCTTGTCGCAGGGGGCGCCAAATTTACAGCACAGCAGGGCCCCGCATTTACTGGGCCTATGCTTAATAGAATCCTCAGAGCACGGACCATGAACAGACATCTGGAAGAAACATAAAGAAACAACTTGAGCATGATAATAATTTGAGATGTCTATATATGTATATATATATATATTAACATACAATTCAAGATCATTCTTATTTTGTTATAAAATCTATTTCTTATGTATATATATATTATTTTATACGGATATGGTTTGAATATATTCAAAATTCAATTTTTATATTTTAAATAAATAGACATTTATATAATTATATATATAATATATATAATTATTTTTTGTTTATTGTATTTATATAATTTTAATATTGATTGAATATTTGATATATATGTTGATGAATATTGATAAAATTATTTATATTTTAAACAATGATGGTAAATTAATTTAGGATGGGTAAATATAGAATTAGAAGAAATTATAGATTTTATTTTATTAAATTAATATAATTTTATGTTTATTGGATATTAATATTTTTTTTTTGCAGATAAGGAGGAATATTAATGAAATGAAATTATTTATTGATTATTATAAATAATTTACATATATTTATATTGATTTATTATGATTTAAATATTTGTATTAATATTGGATTGATATGATTGATATGATTGATATGATTGATATGATTGATATGATTGATATGATTGATATAATTAATTATTGATTTTTTATTTTATTTTAGGATTAGATAATTATTTTAAGGTGAATTTTATTACAAAATAATAATTATTAATATTATTTGGATATTTATGAATTAATTGGTTTTATTTTTTTGATTTAGATTTGAACAATTAATGTATATTTTATGTGTTATTATTATTATTTTGAAAAATATAATAATTATTAATTTTAATGTTTACATTCTATTTATTTGAAACATTTATTTATGTTTTCTTTAAATGAATATTATTCTTTAATATTATATAGATATAGAATATAAATATAAATAATATATTTATAATATATAAAATATATATATTAATCTAGATATATTAATTCCTTATTAATATATTAATTCTATTTGATTATGTGTATTTAAATATATTAATCTAGACATTATAATCCATAGTATGCAAAATATATTATATTATATTAATCTCATTATATATATAATTAATATATATCCAATGTATTAATAATTTATATAAATTAATTATATATATATATATATTGAAGATAATTTTTATGTTACCTAAAAAAAATAAATCATGATTTCCAATAATGGTCCATAGCAAGGTTAAACAGAAAAATCAAATAACAAGGCAAGAAGAGACAAGAAGAGTCAAGAAGAGCCAAGCAGACACAGGAAAAGGCAGGCCGAGGAAAATAGAGAGGCAGGCAGAGATAGAGGTAGGTAGAGGCAGGCAGAGATAGGTAGAGGTAGGCAAAGGCGGCAGAGGCAGGCAGAGGTAGGCAGAGGCAGGCAGAGGTAGGCAGAGGCAGGCAGAAGCAGGAAGAGGCAGGAAGAGGCAGGAAGAGGTAAGGAAGAGGCAGGCAGAGATAAACAAAAAGAAGGTAGAGGCAGACAGAAATACGTCTAGATTAGTAGGTAGAAATAAATAGGCAGAAATAATCAAAGATAGGTAGAGGTCGATATAACGGCTCTGTGCCGTATACGAAATACGACCCCGAGGGGCCGCTTGCGCGACGGCATGGCAAAGCCGAGCCCAGCAGAACCGCTGGAGCCTGCGGGCACGGCAATCCAGGCAAAAGCATGTGCCAAAGCTGAGAGCCAAATAACAGAAAAGCGAGAATATAACAAAAATAATCGGATTTCAATAGATCTAGAACATCTATAAACAAAACAATAAAACCTCATATACCTAAGCTGGATATAGGCAACAGAGCAAATCGATTAAATATAACTTCCATATGCCCAACAAGAAATTTTCCGGAAATTTCGTTTCGAACAAATTCCCAAATTTCCCGAATATATAATCTTGTTTTTCGGAAACCCGCAAAATTATAAGAAATTTGCAGAGATTACGTCTAGAAATCTCAGTAAAAACACCATGACGCTTTTCCACTCAATAACAGCTAAATAATACCCTCATCAGCAGGAAGAAGGACTGATCATTGCAATCTCCTTCAGGAACATCCAGTTGGGACGTTACCCAAAAATCAGGTCATCGAAAACGACCCAAAATTCGAGAAACAAAACAAATACTGGATTATATCGCGAGAGCTTTAAGCGAAAATCCGTAAAACCCCCCCCTAAATTTCGATAACATTTCGGGAATTTCCGTTACCATACATAAATAATACAACCCCAACACCTAACCAATTTATAAATAAACTAGCGGGGGCCCACTGCTTTCCAGCAGCGTGCGACATACAGCCCATAACAAAAGAGTAGTAAAAATCATACAAAATATTCCAACTAATAATCATTAACAAATATGCACGATCATATTCATGCAAAAAATAATAAGCAGACAGACCGAGCAAGTACTTAACAAAGGGCGGTTTCGGAATATTTTAAAAATATAATAAATACCTATAATTTTCCTAAAAACTCGTATGTGAAATATATACCGTTCTCCAAATATAAATCGCGAGATACATTGAATAAAGGCCTACATCGCTAAGGGCGGCCCGATAAGATCACACCAAAAGCCAATCATGGACACAAAGACATAACACATCGGAAAGTGCATCGCACGATTTCCCAATTAGTGGTTTAGATTGGTGATTTGAGTTTTCCCATTTAACTTCAATATAATCCAAAGGTTTAATTCCCAAACAACCATTAAAAACCAGCAATTAGGGGTGAGTTGACGCGAATGCAAAAAAGGAAAACAATCATAAGAAATAATTCCAACATACTCCAATCCGTCAAAAATAACCCACAAAGCGAGACCAGAGCGTCCGCAAAGAATGTTATGAAATTTCACGCACTCTCCCCAAAGTATCGCGTGAGCCGAACTCTCAGGGACCAAGGTCCAGGCCATGGTGGGTATGCCAAGAACAGAGTAAATCTTGTAGAGCCCGCGCCGATGATATATTTTTTTTAACTTGGAATATGTTTTTACTTTACGCTATGATTCTGTTACTCTCTTGCCATGGGCTTCATCTCGCACGCTGCTGGAAAGTAGCGGGACCCCGCTAGTTTATTTGTATATTATGTTTTAAATTGATAATTTTGAAATTATTATTCTAATATATATGTTTATATATATAGATTAGATATTGATATATTATTTTGTATTATATTCAAAATATATGTATTGGTTAAATTAAATAGATATATATTAATTTATATTTTATATGTATGGTTTTGATTAACGAATGATTATTATTTTTCTTTTTCTTTTCGTTATAGTATTTCTTTTTACTTAAGGGGGAATAATTGTTTATTGATTGGGAAATATTTTTCAAAATTTTGGTTTTAGTTAGATCCTTTTATTATATTTATTCTATAAACAAAAATTGCTCGTCGTATTTGCGCGCGTTTTCCCGGACCGCTTTTCCGAAAAATCCCGGATATTCCGGAAAATTAGCCCGGGCTGCCCCTGGAAAATGCAACCGCTTCATATTTCCTATGGGCCGCTTACCCAAATCTGCCCAGGCCACCCCGGCCATAATCCAGATGCAGTGGACCAATTTCCCGAAATATTCCAAATATTTCGGGAAAATCGTAGCCATCCAAAATTTTCTCGAAATACCGAACATTTCGGGAACTATTTTCCCGAAATATTCCAAATATTTCTGGAAATGCTATCGTCAAAATACCCGGAATCTTTCGGAAAAATGGTCTAGAGTGCAATGATTGAAATATCCGGGATATTTCGGGAAAATGGTCCAGGCGTTAAACGAAACCGTTATATCTTCCAAATAAAGAGTCGGGGCATATATCTACCTAGCTGAAATCTTGGCCCATCTTCCGAGAGTTTAGCGATACGAGAAGTTGTGTGTGAACCGTGGCCGATTGTTGCGACCAGTGTTGTTTTTTCCAATACTTTGAGCGAAATTAGTTCGGTTTTGCTTGCACCCAGGTTGTCTTCTGGTCGATCGCGTTTTCGCTTGCGCTTGCAACAACTATGTCTATGGATGGATTCTTTGAGACCGACAGCCTGCGGATCCCTTCTCACCTTGCTCAGGCGACCGCCTTTCACTGACTCTTTAGCGTGACCTTATCGCGACCAGCCCGGTCCTCAGTGCGTCTCGCGACCTGTGTTTGGAGAACGGCAGCATGCTTTTCGCATACGACGAGTATACATTTTTTGATACATATGAGATGATAAAATATTTTGGCGCCTATAAGATTTGTTCTGTTCTTGGCACACCCACCACGGCCTAGACCTTGGCCTTTGAGCGCTCGGCCCTTTTTTGACACCCGCCTCAACTTGCTGGTTTGGATTGGTGGGTGGGGATTAAACCCTTAGATCATGTTGAAGTTGAATGGGAAACCCCCCCCCTAACCTCCAAAACACCGGTCCAAACTACCAATCCAAACCGGGTCGATAACAACCCGGGGGTGCCCAATCCAAAGAGGGCCGCCGAACACCTGCAACCACCTCCTAGCCGCGGGCCAGAATATAGCCGTCGTGGAGGGCAAGGAGAGCGCCGGGGTAGCGCCGAGACAATCGCGTGACAAACCGTTTCCCATTGGCTTGCTCCACTGGGCGAGGGCGTCAGGGAACAAGCGGCCAGGAAACAAGCGGCTAGCGGCCGCGTGCAATTGGGGCACGCGCAGCCAACAGCTCGCACGCGTGTTCTTGCAGCCCGTCTGCATCACGGCTCTCGGGCTCGGAGTCGGACGCGTGCACGTGCAGAATCCCGCGCGCTGCGCGCCGGAGGTGTGTCTC